ATGCTGCAACGCGTAGCGCGTCACCCGACCTCAGTGCACTCTGGTGAACCTCGAATTCTTCGAGTAACACTAAACTCAGCAGATGAGACAGAGGCTGTCCTGCTCTCAGCAGTTCGTCTTCGCAACTCACCGAGCGGAGTACGCCTATTGCCTGATCTACCTTGGATAGATCGCCCAAAAGAAGCAGTTGACCAACGCGGCATTGCTAATTGAGATGTCAAGAGAACAATATTTGTTCATGGAGTTCCTGAGCTTCTGCATTCTTCTGATCACGATGCACAAACTCATGACCGAGAGCAGTGGTGCTACATCCGCGAAGCACTCTCTGTAGACAATGTTATTGCCAAATCCCTGACAAGAGTGCCGTCATCACCTAACTACAAGGGCTGCGGTCCAAGGCTAATGAAAGTAATACTACACTCCGAGGGAATGACGCAAGTTCTGTTGGATAGCTGGTTAAAGTTTCGAGCTAGGCTGCCAACAGAGATCCGGCTAAAAGCAGCAGGCGAACGATCAAAAGTCGGAAGCAATTCAACGGAACTTGCAAACGCAGCAAATTCCTTATCTGCACAGTCCTGCGGAGAGACCGACATAACTGCGCCCACGGCATACAGGAGGACAAAGCACAGCACCAGTGAAACTTCTGTTCAGGAACGCTTAATAATGCCATGCAACACGACTGAAATACATAAACCAAAAAACGATTAATTGCCGGCCACCTAACGGCCGGCTCACAAACTAACACAAACTTGACATCTATCGATGAACTCCTAACAACAAAAGCCCTATCTTGCATGTATACAAACGCCCAAGGCCTTCTAAGCAAGTTGGCAGAACTTAGAGAACTCCATGCCTCACAACCGCGGGACCTCGTCATGATTACAGAGACGGTTAAACCCTGAGATAACCGATTCTGAGATCAATTTACCCGGTATGTCACTGCTTCGGACCGATAGAACCGGAAGGGAGGGCGGTGTGATTCTTTACTATCATACAAACCTCCGATGTGAAGTTATCGACCACCCGGAAATCCGAGCTCCCGATTCGCTTTGGTGCCGCCTATGGTTGCGAAACAAGGGCACATACCTACTTGCCGTGATTTATCGCCCACCAAACACAACTTCGGAAATGGACTCCAAACTGCACCACGTTTTTCGGTTTGCTTTGAGCAAGTCCTACACCCACATTCGTATCGCGGGAGACTTTAACGTGCATGACATAGAAACGCCGGCAACCGATGGTATGCAGTTTAAAGCCTGCTTGCAAGAGCTTATTGCTAGCCACCCACTTTACAACCACGTAACCTCTCCCACCAGATTTCGAACTTCTAACAAGCCGTCGATACTGGATCTCGTGCTCACTAACGAAGAACTCATGGTTAGTGGGATAGTTACAAGCACACCACTGGGTCGTAGTGATCATGTTACTCTACTTTTTGACTATATTTGCTATGAGGATTACCCTGAAAAGGAGGAGGATAAAGTGCATACTGTCACACACTACAATGTGTTGTCTAAGCTTGTTAAGGATACATCTTGGACTTTCTTAACCGAATGCCCCCCAGATGTTGCCTGGGAAACATTTACAAGGACGTTTAGTACACTGGTAGCGCACGCATCAGAGGAGAAGTCCTTCCAACCTAAAAATAAGCGTAATTCATTTCTGAGGAGCAGGACACGTAAATGTATGTCCCGGAGGGATTTGGCATGGCGAGATCACCAGGACTGCCCGAATGCCGAAACCTGGACTGCATACGTGACACATCGTAACTTCTGTGTGAAACTGATCCGCGAAGACAAGGTCACTCATCAGCAGAAGTTAATGAAGAGATTCTGTACGAATCGCAAACTCCTGTACAGGCACGTTAACGGCCTTCGAAAGGTAAAGCGGGGGATTCCAGCACTAGTCACGGCTGATGGGTGCACGCAATCAGCAATGGAAGCAGCTGATCTCCTACGGCTTCATTACTCCCGAGCTTTCCAGGAGGTAACGAGCATGAACATTCTTCTCATATCTACTACTCCACCATCTGGTTTAGAAAACATCACCTTCACTGCGGAAGCTGTGTTGAAGAAGTTGTTATCCTTGCGTATCCACAGTTCTCCCGGAGCTGACAACATCCGACCAAAGGCTCTACAGGCAGTAGCTAGTGATCTAACAGCACCACTGGTTATTTTCTATCAGCGATGTCTAGAGGAGAACCGTATTCCACCAGTATGGAAGCGAGGGGTCATCACTCCTATTCATAAAGGAGGTAGCCGCACTGATCCTGCAAACTACCGTCCAATAACACTACTTCCAGTGCTATCCAAAGTGATGGAATCAATCATCGCAGATGCGCTGATGGAATACCTGGAAAGCCACAATTTAATAGTCCCAGAGCAACATGGCTTTCATCAAAAGCATTCGTGTAATACTAACCGATTACTTGCACGTAATAGCTGGACTGAAGCTGTTGATGATGGAGTAGGGGTCGATGTCATCTACCTGGACTTTTCAGAAGCATTTGATCGCTTAAACCATCGCATTCTCCTTCACAAGCTTCGGAATTACGGCATTGGCGACCCAGTCCTGAGTTGGATTGACAATTTTCTACAAGAACGACGGCTAGTGGTGAGAGTCCGAGAATCATTGTCTGATGCAATCGGTGTGAGGTGTGGAGTACCACAAGGCTCGGTTCTTGGACCTCGTCTATTCTTGGTATTCATTAACGATTTGGCGAGATCAATTACTTCCGATTTCCTATTTTTTGCTGATGATATCAAGATATGGCGAAGGATCAGAGGACCGGAAGACCATGAACGGCTCCAGTGCGATCTTAACACAGTGTCGAACTGGTCACTTCAAAACGCCCTACCGTTCAATGTAGACAAATGTCGCGTCGTACAATTACGCCATAGTCATAACTACACCTGTTCACTTGGGACCAACGGACTGCAGAATAGCTCCCAGGAACGTGACCTGGGTGTGATCCTACAGAGCGACCTCGACTGTTCAAAACAGGCTGAGGTAGCTTCGAAAAGAGGCAACCAGCATGTCGGCATGCTGCGAAGAGCATTTGGGAGATTTGACCCATCAATCATTCCAATGATGCACAATTCCTACGTGCGCCCGCATGTTGAATACGCTATCCAAGCTTGGCAACCTTGGTTGAAGCGTGACCTAGAAGCGATAGAGGCACCACAACGGAGAGCAGCAAAGAATGTGCAGGGTCTTCGCTATCACTCTTACCACCGAAGGCTGAAGTTTCTGGGAATTTTCAGCGGGCGCTATCGAAGACTGCGCGGTGATCTCATATTAGCGTATCAAATATTGAGTGATCCCAATCACGTATGCAGCCATTTGCTGAAACTTAGCCACAACACGCAGCTCGGGGTAACTGCCTAAATTTGAAGGAACAATACAGCCATCTAGAGTGTCGACGGAATTACTTTTCCCTTCGGGTTTGCAAACCTTAGAACGCACTCCCAGACTCAGTTGTATCCTCTCCTACCTTGGATGTTTTCAAAAAACGCTTAGATGTTGTTCTTAGCTCCCAACATTTTGTTACCTAAACTCCCCTACTGTGGATTACGCCAAGGATGCATTTCAACAGGATTTATGTATCAAATGGACCTAAGTGAGCGACCATATTTTACTTTTCTCACTCTTTACCTCAATGATCACTGCATCCCAGTGTCTTTCTGAACGTTTACGCTCGATAATTTATTTTAATTTTACACTGATGTTACTTATCACACTATTCATCTCGGCAGACGTACGATAGATGACCCAGAATATACTTTGATTTCATCATATTCACCTCAACCATCCTACGGGACGTGTCAAGCACTTGCTTTTATCCCGTGATAAATCATTGTTCATCATTGTTCATCATGTTACATGACCCAGAGCTTATGGTTTACCCTACTGGAACCTCAGTCGAATTCGATTGTCTTTTATACCACTTGGTCATAATGGAATAAACAGATGTTGTAAACTAACACAGCACATGGAACCTGAGTGCTTTCTGCCTCAAAACACCGCACTACAACGCGTTTCGACCTTGTTTGTTACCATCAGGTAGAGATAGCAGGCTTGGAATCCTGGATGTTCGTTGAAATCTCTACTCCTTTATCAATCAGGTCACGCTGGGCAAAGCTTGGTACAACTGTTAATATGTGACTGGAGTATCATACGAAAGTGCTTGGATGGCGACATGCACCCGCATTGAAGCGGGTGGATAACGTCCAATTTCCATACGCATTAGATACGGTCACAGTGGAAGAATTGGACAACGTTCGCTTCAATGCGAATTACGGTCCAGATTGAGATTACGCGTCGCAATGCATCCAGACAACGCGTATCTCAAAATGACCCACTAAGAGAGCACAAGTACCTTTGTGTTGCGCACGGCGTTTAGAAATAAGTGTTTGAAACGCTGCAGCCTCACAAATACAAGCGGAATAAAAGCGGTAGCATCGTAGCTCTGGTTAACAAATAATTGTATAACAAGGCAGGACAAGTTCGGAGGTGTAACCAAATGATAGCATATACCAAGTTACAAAAATGTTGCTCGTTATTTCATGGAAATACTAATCTGGCCATTGATCGAAGGAGGCCACATAAATCGCCAGAAACATTCTGGTGCGAAGGTAAGGTGGGCAGACTGATTAGGGTTAATTGCAGGTAGTCTGACATGTCAATTAGGTCAACAATTTCAGATGTGTGGTAAGGAGTAATCTGTTGCTACAGAGCCCGTATAGTTGTAGGCGATTAAGAAACCAAACGCTTCAACGTCTTTTAATATGCTAAATGGTCAACATACCGCTATTCCGGCAAATCACATTACAGGATACCTAGTTTTCTGCTGAGTTGTGGAAGCAGCGAGAACCTAAAAGTCTTTACACAACGCTTATCATCAAGTAGTTTAGCGTTATTCAAGTATCTTAATCTTAAATGTTACTAGAACAGATTGCAAGAGAATGATATCTACGCAAATTCAGCAAACATTTTCTTACTGCTTGCAGTGAGGTAGTTTGTCGTAGAAGAAACGTCAAGTCCTTCGGTCTAACGGGTTTTGCAGGGCTGTCAATTCTCCAGTTGTGAAACAGAACCCCCTTTTCTTCCATCACTTGAATGGGACTGTCTAATGAGGTAGGCGATTCGTTGGATTTTCGTTTAGCAACTGGCGGCTTACCTGTGTCCACAACTGCGTCGCTTACGTTGGCCTTGTCATTTAGACAAGGAAGGTCGTGCTGATGAATATGTTTCGATGGATCATCCACTTGCTTCTTTCGATTATGATGCCGATGTGCCGACTTCCGGTAGACACTTGGGGTGAACACAGGGGTGACAAAATATTGTTGTGGTCGACTGTTAACACCTTTCTTTAATGTCGTTGTGAGGGGACGATCTCGTCCCGTGTTACCAAATACCTCTTCACTATTTTCGGACAACACACAAGGGCAGTGTCGATTACTTGATGAATCGGAGTTGTCTAAACAGCACGCATGTCTGTGCGCTAGCGTAACTGATGGTGACGTACGACTAGAAACTTCAAGCCCTCCTTTGTGGCACAATATCCTATAGTTCGTTGCAGGCTGGCTGGATCGTTTTTTGCGGAGTACGTTAAAATGCGGCTTCATAGGTGAAGAGAGGGATGGATCCAGGCTACCGCCACGCTTGATGCGCTCTTTACGACAAGGTCCTCCCGTATTGACACGTTCGATCATAAAGTGGTGATGGTGGCGGTGCAGTTTACATTGATGTGGTTGGTTGTTTGAGCGGCGGTGTCGTCGATATCGTGAATACCATAGAGGCGGTTCTTCTGTTTTTATATCTAGCGATGAGAGAGAGTAAGAATATGAGGAAGCAGAGGAAAGACAAGGGCTTTCCACCGGTGACAGTGTTGCCGAGGTACTGCCATCATTGTTATGCAAATTTAAATCCGAATAACAGCAAATCTCTTGCGGATCCTCCTCATCGGAATAAAAGACACATTTTTCTTGTTTAGAAAACATTGGAGAATTTCTCAAACATGTCTTGGCTCTATGTGCCAAAACTTCGGAATCGTGACAGCGACGTGGCCTCGTTGCTTGATAAAGCTTAAAGGATTCACTCGTTCTGATATGTCGACTGGGTTTTGAACGTTGACCTTCGCTAGTGTCCGCACCTGCAGTTTTTACATAGGGGTCAAATGATGAACCTTTCAAGTTGGAACGTCCTATTTCGCTCCTGCCCGCTGTTGAATGCTGAGATGCATTTTGCTTCCCACTACTGCAACGAAGGGAACCAGATTTCGCTACAGTGGTCATCCTCTTTCCATGGGCGCAACATTCATAGCTACAATGCCTATATTTGCCTCTTGAAGACGAATTGTCCTTAAGCTTATTAGCATTTCTGCAGGTATTCTCTGATGTTAGCTTTTTCATCGAGTCAACCGTGGGAGAGGTGGCTAAACAGCAGTCATGATGACGCGCATTTCGTTTCATCTTATCGATTTCATCACAGGTAGTTGGTAAATGGCATTTTTCAAAAGGATGAAGTGCAGGCGATCGGAGCCCTGTAGACGCCGAGGCATCGCTGTCCGAATGCATTTCACGATGCATTCCGCCCAGAGAAGTGGCCATATCAGAAGAGATCTCGGAGTTGGATAGGGAAGATGTAGCTCCAGAAGTGGAAGACGACAAAGTCGATGCGGACGCAAGTGATGTGTGTGAGTCGGACAAAGTTGATTCAGGAAGAGAGGTCGTTTGGTGGGTCAGAGTACAAACGGAGACAGAATCCAGGTTGGGTGTGAATGTGACTTCTTCGTCATATGCCGAATTAGAATACGTCATTTGATTAGCCTGGTCTGTAGGCGAACATGTCTTTTGTACCAGCTTCCCATGCGCCTGTCGAAGGGACAGAGTGAACAAAAGTGTAAAGTTGTCGGATGACAGAACTGAGGAAGCCAAAATTGTTATGACTTAATAGTTGTAAAAGTGTAAATAGTACATACAGAAAAAAGACATGACGAACAATCTTCCTCCCCCGAATCACCACACTGACTAGTGCATATTGGATACTGTGCAATGGATATGGAGTAAGTGATAGCCAAAATGAATTTAACGCCTCATGACAACTAACGTTGAACAATCACTGTAGAAAAAGGCTAATCGGTTTGGAGAAAATCCAATTCACCGGCTGCCTCAGTATTACATAAAACATCGAACCAATAAAGTAAGTTACAAATACAGTCATAATCACCTGTTCGGTTATTCAACTTCACTTCTCTGCGAAAGAAGTAAGTTAGATGGACTCGGTTATACCGAGCGGGATAAGAATTAAACGAGGCGATGGTTTTTGATTTCCTTTCTTATTCATCAGAACAAATGAACAAGTTTGCAACAAGGGTTGAATACTTTACCCGTTCATTCTTTGAGATGTGGTTCCAGAAATAGCTACAGTCTTTTAGATTGAGGTCGCATTCGGGTAAGAAGAATATTATTTGCTGCATAAGCAAGCGAAATGTTTTCAACACTGGAAATACGAATAATGTCTTTGTTGCAATTGGTAGTTGATAAAAAGTAGCCTGAATTGTATGTCATTATTGTTCGTAATCAAAGGTCCGTATGGCAAAGGTTGTCTGGTTGGCAATTGACGTGAAAAGAATTAAGTTTTAGGTAGATCAGTTATCCTAAATTGATTTAATGGTAGAAAGCTTTATCAATCCACTTAAACAAAACATTGCAACTTTAGTTTCTAATAAGCGACTTATGTTGCGATTTTTCCAGTACCATCATAGCCACGGCATCCGTTACTTATCCCTACGATCCTTCAACAAATATGAAATGCACAACTTCGGTTGTCCCAGTTAATCATGCACTAATAAATTTTCATGAACCGTGAGGCGAAAATTGCTTAAAGCCTTGTTTATTTTCAGTCTTTACATCTGACTTGGAAGAAACATACAGTTAAGTTTGGTTTCTGTGACGACTGCGAAATTAACTGGTGCCTTAGAAAGTTGAATGAATTTCCGTCCTTGTAAAATTTTTTCACGATTCGCCTACCTTGGAAACCTCTTGGTTTGATCTTTCTGGAAAATAGCTGATATTCTCATAAGCCTCATGTGCTGTACGCTTGTTTGATTTATGACAATCAGGATTCTCCACTGTTTTCTCACTGAGAACCACATGCTCTAGATGCAGTTGCGCGGCGTCTTCCTGGTTGTGGATTGCGCATACATCTGGCTGTAAATTGATACCAGCGATACTGCTGGACCGAGTGGTAGATTCGTTGAGTTCGGGCATTGGAACAACTCCGCGCCGTCTTCCGTTGCCTGCATGAATCAGCCCCAATCTTTTGGATTGCGGGAGATGGTCCCACGATCGATTAGCCAATGTGACTTCTGTGGTACCATTATGCGAAAGTCCGAGAGATTGTGTAAGATCCATTGAATTGCACGTAACATCTGTACTGCCAAAACTAGCTCCAGGCCCCGTTAAGTTTCCTGTTGACCAACCAGCTCCGCTGCTTCCACGCGTCTCAGTGCTGGACAAGACCCGAAATGTCCCATTTGACTCCATATCCGTGGAGCTTGCTAAACTCAGCTGAAATTAACCCGGTGTAATGATTTGGGATTAAAACGAGATAGACGTCTGATGCATGTATGTTGAACAACGACTAACTGCTCAGTGTGGTGGGGTGATTCCTGCAGCAATTTGTAACTGCGTGCAGCGTGATAATTTGAGATGGCAGATATTGATTTTCAAAGCCTGTGTACTGGTATTCTAAAAGCCTATGGAAAATACAATTAATATCACTACTATGACGGAATGAATGCTTCCTCTTTCACAGCATGATAGCTTCAATTGCCAAGAGGTTCATAACCACCTGGACATTTGTTTCATGGAAAAGAACAAACTCACCGCATACCTCAAATTATCGTTTGGCCAGTTTTAACAAGGGTACCTGGCAATCATAGATCTTATCCCGCAATGAATGAAAACTTTGCTTTGATTATTTGGCAGCGAATCAAAATGTCATGGCATATTAAATTTCTTACCCCTCTGAATACTTATGTTGATTGCATATAGGTAGATGAAGATATTTAAACCACTGAAAGAACTAGTCTTGTCATCCACTCTTTAATGTAATGGCTGGGAAACGTGTATATTAGGGATTCAGAACACTCACTGGTCTATCCTCGTAGCCCATTGAATTGGTACGGAACGCTGCCGCATTCACATAATCTGGGGAATCTATAGAAAGTGGTCCTGATTCCTCGATTGAACCCCTCTCAGAATGCATACGTTTAACCGATCCCAATCGAGCCGAGGACTTTTTCTTTGACGAGTGACTTGGTTGACCGTGACGGCGTCGTCGATGAGGATTGTTCACAGGTGAATTTTTCGGTGAAACATGATTGTCGTTCGACGTATCCTTATGATTGTCTGTAGGTTGTGTGCTTGAGCACCTAGCAAAAATGATTTTGATGAATTCAAATATCCCAGCTAACCCAAAGCGTTAGAGAATTAGGGAAGCTGAAATATTCTAACGGCGTGCAAATAATTGTCAGTTAATAAATACCCCAGGATCTAGATATAACGCAGTGCTGAAGCTTAGTACTCGTTATATACAGCTGAAACTATGTAAACGAAGCACCAGAAGTGATTTGAACAGGAAATTGTGAGGAACCAAGATGTATGTGAGAAAGCATATATGACTTCGCACATAGGACCAACCAAATGTAATTTATGTCGCATTTATACCACATCTAATGCGCAACGTGTACTTCATAACGACTCTTACTATCAGCTGCTAACCGTCGTAACAAATGCTATACGTAGCGATACTGTGTCTTATAGGTATAGACCTCGGCTGAAGTTTCCAGAGTTCGAGTGGAAGCCCTGTTGCCAGGTGGAAAGCTAGTTGATCTCGAGTATCCGGACGATACTGGCTTGCTGTTTAACGAGTTTGGGGTGAGCCAGTTAACCATGAATAACATCGCTAGAGTAGTGACATCATTTGACATGCGCTTCGCAGCCTTAAAGTGCAAGGTGTTGTTGCAGGACTACCAGCCACTCGATGATCCCTTGAACCTTGATAACTAGGAGCTCAGGTATTTGATCAATTCACTTACCTTGGTAGCTGCTTCAGCAACAATGGGGACCTAAGTCAGCTCACGTATTGCAAAAGAAGGAACCGAATTCCTGAATCTTCGACATCTTTGGCGTCAGAAGTGGGTTTCCTCGGCCTGAAAGGCTGTGTTTACAAGGCCACAGTGATGGCCGTTCCGCTATTTAAGAGCGAGAATAGGGCCATACGGTCTGAAAATCTGAGGAACCTTCAATTCTATGAGCATCAGTGCTTGCAACGTGTTGCTGAAGTCGGGTTGCGCCAGCGTTTCCTCAACGATGACATGAGGATGCGAGTACTAGACAGTGCTAATCTGGCTTGTTCTTTTGAACAACTCATGGCACTGATTAAGCTGCGTTGGCTTGGGCAAGTACTACCAATGCTCGAGCACCGCTTACCAAGGAGGGATTAACTTTGTTTGCCGGATATAGGGTGGCGTAAGGCTCGAGGTGCGCAAAAGTTAACTTGGAAGTGAGAAATAGGACAGTGGATTTGTCACAGATAAAACAGCAAGACCTTAAACAAGTTCCGTAGGTAAAGATGGAAACCAAAAATGAATGTGTCAAGAAAATTGCGTAGCTTTGTATTTAACGCAGTAGACGTCAAACTTACGAAAGTTAGATCACTTTGTATCCTAACCAATAAAAATTTCTAAAATTGTTCCACCGGAAGGATCCTGAAGATGGATAAAGACTGGGTACAATTTCGCACCAGAAGGAAGTCTTTTTATTCTGGTATAAACAGTGGTGAGGTCCAGTATGTGGTTTGTCATAACTTTAGTAGACAATCACTAAGAGGGCAGGCTCTATCACCTGTTTCTTGATATTTGCATAGGCCTGCTACTCATTAAAGCTCTAGCCAATCTCGGCATAAAAGCAGCAGGAACCGTTCGTTGAACAAGGACAGACACATAGCTTATCGGTGACTAGCTCTGGAAAACCAAACAGGAGTGCTTGTAAGTACTTTTTTGACAGGCGGGATGACATATTTTGTTTGCCTCGTAATGACAGCTCTGTTGTAACTCTTAACAGAAACTCTTGGTTTATATCCGCTGACAAACGCACACACGTGATCGGCCAAGGAAAAATGGTATATGCTTACTGAACACCCTGGCATCTTTAACAAATGTATCAGTTCGATGGGAGAGGGATTCGACTAACTATAATGTCGGTCAATATAAAATCACTTTATGCGACCAAATTTAGTGGCGGCGACAATTGGCTATTCTCTCTTAGGCTTAACTCAACAATGTTTAACAACTGTACAGCAAATAACCTGTACATGAGCATTTGTGTACAATGTGCTTTTATTTATACTAGCTGTTGTGATATTCTACCTTCGGATGTGTCTAGCAGAGATAAACGTCACACAAATATTTTTCCCCAGCAACAAATGGTCAAGTATTGGAGGGAATATAAGGAAATCTTGCAATGAGCACCATTTGGAGTTAAGGTCAAAGCGACGAAGATAGCAACACTGTAGGATAAGGCTAATCTAATCTATCCAGTGTATAAAGTATCACTATATGTAGCCTGCATATGTCTTTACCCCGAGCAATTTTCCCCAGTAATATATGTTTGATATAAATTGTAAATACCCTGTCGGATTAATAAGTTTCAAAATATGCAGTACAAAGGTTAGGTTCAGATGACCTGGCAAGAGAAATGCGAACTGCAATCTATTCTGAACGTTGTTTATGGATTTCAGCTCACGGAACCCTATTTTAGCGGCCCAGCGCTACTCATAAGCCATACATCTGACCGTAAGTATGGAACTCAGTCAGTGTCCCTGGAGGGCGATACTTTTCCATGACTATAAATGTGGTTTAATGCAGCACCAGGGTATTGAGCGATTGCTCGCAGAGTTTGGCGCTGATACGCTTTCAAGTACCACTGTGGTTAAGTGCTTTGCGGAAATCAAGCGTGACACGTTGCCCCTTGTTGGTGAGGCACGGTGTAGTCAACCTGTGGAGGAAGCCGCCAAGAACAAACTTGTTGCTGTGCAAGCGATGGTGAACGAGGACACGCGGGTGAATGTAGTACAGCTGGTGAAAGCCATCGGGATCTCATCGGGATCAATCCGCAACATCTTACATGAGACATTCGGCCTTAGAAAGGTTTGCGCATGCTGAGTACCCTACCAGCTCAGTGAGGACCAGAAAGCAGCTCAAGTGAATCGGTGCCACGTCATGCTTGGCAGATTTGATGGTGGACGTTCCAATGCTGTTTGGAAGATCTCATTGGTGGTGAGACCTGGATGTACATTATCGACCAAGATACCACGCAAAATCGCCTCAGTGGACGGCCGTTGATGGGGCGCCGCCTCAGGAATCTCCTCGTGAATGCAGTATGGTCAAGTAGATGTTGGCTGTGTTCGTGGCCAATACCGATCATGTGGCTACTCAGCGCTCGTACGGCAACACTCAGTCACCGGAAGTTAGTATGTCACCCATTGTCCGCCACAAGGGTTGGAAGCTGTAACCATGCGTCGTCCAAGGACTCCAGTACGATAGACCCTATTGCACTCTGAAAATGCACATGCACATAAGCCTCATGTCGTCGTAGATTTTCTGGATAGAGAACGCATCCAGGTGGTTGGTCACCCACACTACAGTCCAAATGTGGCTCTGTTTGCCTTTTTGTGTTCCCAAGTGTCGAGCGCAGGATGTCTGGAATCCGCTGAGTCTCCAGAAGCTGCATTAGAGAACTTCATTGGGCTGCTTGAATGAGTACCCGATTCGGCATTGTTTAGATGCTTCTCCAAGCGCATGGAACTGTGCATGAACGAGAAAATGCATTGCTTATTTTGTTTGAAAAATTTAACTTTGTGCATCCAGAAACTTATTGCTCTTTACTCGTTCTATCATTTCAGATCTAAGAATGGCGTACTTTTCAAGTGAATGTGGCTTCGTGTTTTCTTCCAGATTCCAATGTCACCGTACCATTTTCCTCTGGTGTCCATATAAAAGCTCATTTTTAAAAACTATCGTATTTCCTAGAAGGATTTAACTTTACAAACTCTAAACCCCATGTGAATGAATTTTTCACCATTTTCTAAAAAATATCTAAAAACGAAGAGAATAGAAAACTCGTCAGAGTATGAACAGTAAACAATTACTTATGACAACTAAAGTATGCTTGAGATTTCCCGTAAGACGCCCTGCGTAAGGATTATAAAACTAACGGCAAAAAATAGGATGAAAGTGGGAGAAATTCGGATTTTAGTGACTCTTCAAGCTATTCGCATGTACATTGCTTCAGGTTTACCCATCGCCACGTTAGGGAGAGGGATGGTAACACACTATCTGGTTCGCGTTAATTTGAGTAACACAAGCTCCAGCGCTAGTATATGATCGACGCCAAAGCCGCAGTAATTATTAGGTAACTTGTTTGCGCTAAACTCCCGGTTGTTTAAGTTTACGTCCCTACAGTAGAACCAGATGCATCCCCTTTATTCTCTTCTTTAAATGATAAAACAGTGGTATCTGACAAATACTGTGCTTGGGGAAAACGATATAAGTCGCCTCTTCGCTACTCGGCTCCAAACGTTAGATCAGTGGAGTACATTTTTCATTCCCCGCAGATATTTTCATCTGAAAAGCCAAGTTATCGCTTCAATTACACGGTTCCTCCAAACCAGCTACCGCACAAGCATGGATCAGTTCGTTAACCGGTTTTCATTGGTCCAGTCCCCTTAGACTAATATTTATTATTTACACCACTTGAACACACTTGTCCCATACGGCAGCAAATAGTTTTGCATATCTCCTGGATCGATAAAAGCATAAACTCTACCGTTCTCTGCCCATATGCCACGCGCCTCTGCTACACACTTGTAGTAGGCAAAACTACAGTGATAAATCTAATATTGCACAATCGGAACCGGTTAATCCACTTGCATCTCTAAATGTGGGTGCTCGACTTCATTCGACGTCACTAGAAAAATTGTAACTATTGCGTGGTACGAGGACCTGTAATTAAGTCACTCACGTTCCTTGACGCCCACTTTGCAGACTACAGGTATAGGGAACGCATCGCACCCGGATAAGAGGTAATGCAGCTGCAATATGCTGCCACCGCGCAGGAAACCGCTATGTGATTCCGCGCCTGTTCCCGATTCAACTACGATAGAGCAAAACAGATTTTTATCCTTTCGCTCTCTATTCTCAGTATTCAGTATCCAAACATATCACCAGTCATTCAATATGCCTTAAACAGAAAATTCAGAAGACGTAGACTGTGAGATGACTCAGTCATTTCATTCAAGCTCCTCAACCAGAAATCATGCAGAAACCATAGATATACAAAAACGCGGTCATATGAGATCAGTAGTTAGCCCATGGTTGGATAGTCATCACTTCTTTCACTACCACGCTGGGTTAAGGTTCACAGGCACCTCTTTCTGCAGAGAAAGCAGTGGCCGCTTTCGATCCATAATGATGGCTTCCACTAGCCGGCGAATGTAGGGTCGCTGATTGCGTGTCAGGACGGTGAATGACTCATCGGTGTTAACATGGTGACCGGTGCTCAGCAGGTGCCTTGTGATTGCCGAGTCAGCTCGACTTCTCAATTCACCCGATTACGCCGTCGCCGAAACCATCCGGCTGCGTAACCACTTAGGAATGTGCTCGTTGGTCCTGACACCTAAACTTGGGTTAGTGCGCCCGATATAGCTTCTCCGCAGCTACAGGTGAACTTGTATAAACAATGGGACATTCACAGCTTCGTTATTAGTGTCTTGAGAGAACACAAAAGCAGTGGTCTTGTTGACGTGAGCACCCGTAGCTTAGCTGCATTGTAAGCCCTTTCACTGAAGCATTAATGAAGAGTGGCCAACGATTGGCTATCTACTGATCCCATAAGACCGCCATTTTGTATATCCATGATTTTGCATTATTTGTGATTGAAGGGCTTGCACAAAATAACCGAGTCATCTCACAGTCTACGTTTTCTTGTTTTTATGGTTGAAATTATAAAGGGAAATTTCCGTTTCAACTTTCTCAAACATAGACTCCCCCGTCCAATGTGCCTTCATTTTGTTCTGTCGGTCAGCCGAATTATTTCAACCAAGCGGTCAGCACAAAAACGCAGACAAACAACGAACACAAACTATGCGAGGATAGCATGCTTAACGAGTATTACTGGTTCGACTGTCTATCTACTGGCAGCTATGAATATTTAATCTTCCACGATGGCTTTTCCATTGCTCTCGAAATTTTACCATATATTTCCGGAATAAATCATCTTACGCAACCACAAATATTAGCTTGTTGTTTTTAATTCACAACAACAAATAAAAGAACAAATAGCTATATGGATGCATTATCCAAAAGAAATTAAATTGCGTTGGCCAGCATGCTGCGGAACGCAAAAAAGCGCACTAGATCACCCTTTCTAACGGTCGGGCCTTCTGACCAGCTGCAGTGGATATTCAACAGCAATTTGATTACCAAATTTTTAATGTTTCTCAACAAGTCACTTCAAGTTAGGGGAAAGGGTGACTCCAACTGGACTGGTTGTCAATTTACTTGGTAGTAGCATGACCTTTGGTAGAAAAATGAGTTAACATGAAACGCACCACTGTAAGGAGATACCAAGATGTGCCATACATAAACTGTGTGGTATAACTAGTACATCCTATTAAATTTCCAACGAGCCCACTCATTGACTAGCATGATCCACAGCAAATGGAAAGGGTAAACATTATCAACGTACAGCCATCATATCCAGCTAAGATGGATGTATTGCTGGCTCAAATGCAAAAGTGACTTCAGTTTATCCAATCAAAGTCATACACGCAAGTTTGCTTCAGCATTAAAGTCTACTTACTTGAATATCTTTTTCTCCCTTTCAGTACACATCCCATTGATGAGGAAATTGGCTTCTTCGGTTTCTTCTGCCGCAGTTGTGGAAGAATTCATCTGCAATTCTTGACTAGCTGTCAGGTTTGGTGTGCTGACACTGTTTGTGTGTAAGCTTTGTTGCTGCAGTAAGGCCAGCCTGTACTCAACCAGTAGTCTATGAGCAAGCTCAGTTTCCTGTAGAGAAATAATGCACCATGGATTATAGTGAATGGACAAATCGCGACCCTTGATTTTTATCATACTTGCGGCCAGTTACAATATGGTGATTTTCAGACCATCTCAGCTAAAAGTCTTGACAAAGGCTATCGACTCTTCGCTGAGGTACCTGTTACTGAATATTCGTCGCAGCTAGACTCAGGCAGACAGTCACCAGTCATCCAGAGAAGTATTAGACGGCCGTTTCGTCTTATTCGGACTCGTCAGTAGCGCGCATTCGCCGAGTCCTCCCGGCGAGCCAGCAACTTGTGGCACTGAGCCATGGGTGACGGCAGAGGACCGCCATGACTAATACCTAACCGATGAAGCGCGACTCATCTTCAGGTCTCATATGTTTTAGGAATGTACAGAGGACAGCGCTGGCCCACAGAGTAACAACTTTCTTTGCAAGCCGCCACCAATGGAGGCCGAATGTAAGCTGCTAAGGCGATTACTGTCTATTAGGGAGTAGTAATAATTACCTACAATACTCACTACCTGTTACTGAACCACTCAATGGAACTCACCTTAATATTTGTCAGACTGAGTAGCTGATGTATGTCAGAGTTTGTGAGGAGATGGAGTGGACCATTTGAGGACTGCCTTAATGAGCTGCTCTGTTCCGAGGAGCTGGAGTTGGTTAGCGTAGGGTTCAGTTGTGGTGCTAAATCGTCACTTGTCCCAGGAATCTCAAACTGTGGCCCGCCTTCTGTAACCGTATCACCTATTGTACTGGGTAAAGCAGGTTGTTCTAGGTTTTGAAGGGGGCTTTGGTTAGTGAGAAAATGCGACAAATTTATTGTAGACGATTTCCCCGCAATCTTGGGACGATTGTACGCGACCAATCCTCCATTAAACTGCGTAGAACTACATGGTATCAAGTTTGCCGCAAGCTGGTCTAACTTGAGAGCGCTGACACCAGTGCCAGATTGGGGCAGTTTGGATGTGCAGGTTGGTGCTGCTGAACTAGGCCCAACAGTAGTGAAGTCTGGCTTTTGGCTGTCTGGTTGTGGGAGCCTGGGCAATACTTGCGCCTCGTTGCCATCCCCATCATACTGCTGACCCGGGGGCGAAGAATAGTTCCTCTGTTGAATAGTAAACCTGGTTCCACTTTGCACGAATGCACTGCGCGTGCCGGATTCACCAGATTTTCCTACTTCTTTCTCTGCACCTGTGATATCTGGTATTATTTTCGCGTTCACGGCTGCGGACGACGGTACAAGCCGCCAGGAAGGTGGTGCGCGCTGTACTCTTTGCCTTTGAAATGGCGCCTGAGCTGGCTCCACCATTGTCTCTAGGCCGTTTTGTGATCCAACTTCTTCTTGCGATATGATCCTTATGGAAGTGGAATTTTCTACTCCGCCTTCTTCAGTCGTGTGCGATCGTGGGGAAATTGCACTCTTGGCTATTTCTGTAGGTACCCCACAACCCCACATCGTACCGTCCTGAGAAGGTGGTTCACTGGTAAGGGAAGAAGGTGATTGTTGCACATAAGGACTCTGGTTTGGGCTGGCGGGGTACAAGCGAATTGCAGGAGTGATTCCAAACGCAGTACTGCGTGATAAACTGCCGGTATTGTTTCCATGTCTTTCCAGTGGATAGCCCATGGAAACATGGTTGACATTTTGCAGGCAAATAGCAGTCTCTGGATGAGAACTGGGGTTAGTCTCCGTCAACTGGTGCGCACATGTTTCACTCGACGATCTAGCCAGGCGAGCGCGTTGACCATACACCGGACTGATGGCATGTTGTCCGAGTACCCCACTGTCCGTAAGTGGTACCGGTCTCTCCAGTGTTCTAGACTCGGACTATAGAATAAAGAAAACTGGAGGTCAATTCATATAGATTCCACAAAGAAAAATGAATTGCAAAAGAAACTGAGACAGCTAACAAAGGTGTTAATCTGTACGTTGTTGCCTGATCAACACACGAGAGATTTAGGAGATATGATAACACGCAAACTCGTACGCCACCTTAGGTTACTTGTAGTTAAACAACTGGTTTTCCTAGCCAATACCAGTAGGTACCTACGTGGTTCTGTTAGTAAATGGTAATTTTTGTTGGGTTTCTATCCGTACCGGCAACAGTAGTAGTAGATGTTGGTTGAGCAGAGGCGAGAGACATTGCGTTATTTACCAACAAGTCGAGCAACTACGTCATAGCTTTTCTAATCATACCCTGCTTAAACGAATACAGCAAGCTGTATGGGCACTTGAAACTGACAAGCTGACAAATTTCATGGTGTTAAATATTGTAGAAAGAAATTATAGACGCGTGAGGCGGAAATAGTGCTCTGAATGTTGTAGATCACTTGTCATCAAAGCCAGTCCCCTTTGTTTTGACCTTATGTAGTGCCCAACCGGAACCTTTAATAAGGTGAAAACGTGGTGACACCTATTAAATTTGCGAGCAGAAGGAACGTTTGAAAGCTCCGTGAACGTTTAGCTAGTTCCCACATGCTCCGGAAACACAGCTGAACAAGGTCCTTTTCAATGATTATTCCTATAGGATGATTAAGCTCAAATGCAATTCGTTTAGCAGCAAAGAGATTGTGGCTTCAGTTAAAACTACGCAACATTTGGGACCTGGCACAGTCAAACATCAAACCTATTCACATAACCGCATTTATTCACTCAAGCCACCTACCCCCTGAGCACAAATGATGATTTGGAAAAAAGTTTGTGGTAGGTATAGACATAGATAGTGAACGGCGCCATATCAAATCTAGTAACTTACTCAAGTCAGTGGTTATTTTACCTCGTGGCCCGATAGTCTTCGCCACGGATTGGTGATGGTCATGTTCTACATACACAGGGGCCGAATGGAACCAGCTCTGTTTACAATTTCCGAAAGGATACTACATCCGTACAGTGTCTTTCCATCCGCGAGATTGTTGTCTGAGTCAGTCTACATGTGAAGAACTTCTATACCGTCCTATAACATCACAAGCACACCGAGATGCGCACATGCAAAATGGTATGTGATATTTCAGCTTTATTCCCTTCAGTGATGCCGCTTATTTTTGACTACAATGTTACGATAGTGCAATGTTTGTTGGAGCGGCATGACAAAGCTGAAGCTCAGAAATAGGCAACATAAGTCGAACGAGACGGTACCAACGCATACGTAGACTTCATCGTTTCAATGGTGCACTCATGACCCACTTGACTGACTTTACCTAACCCATCAATAGCTTAGACATATTAGGACGACCCGGATTTCCGACGGTACTGCCTTATTGACTGGGTTCTATGTAGAAAAAACAACGCACTAGGTAGTATGCTAAACTGCCCGGTTTTGGTAATATTATAGCTCCAAAATGTACTGTGAATTGCGCCCCAGTAAATAACAAGTATAAAGCAGCAATATCTTCCTCAGCATGTGTTGTGACGGTCTAGTTTATGAGAACTCATAGAGGGACCACAACTTTGCATCTTTTTCCTACGTTACACGTTTGTTTACCGTATAATTCTGCCTTCAAAGTCACTAAGATTAAATGAGAAGCCAGGTTTGATATTGATGCAATTTTACAATACTATTGCCTAACGAATTCAGAAGAGTTAGCGTTCTATAGCTTCGCTAGATAAGCATAAGGCATTTTAGGAGGGTACGCTTTTACGTCTTCCCTAATAAAGTGTCCAGTTTAAGCCTTCAATATTGGGCATTGTTCCGGGTTACCATCACATTACTATCTGTGGATTAACAACTCGGTTGCGCGTACGAACGCGTATGGGTGTTAGCGAATGCGTTCGTGGGAAATTGGTCTTGGTACTTATACTGGCTCGGATTCTCGTGCCTATAACTCCTCTGATCAGTGGGACAACCAACAGATTATTCGGTATGCAGAAGCGTCTTGAATACGGTGTGACATGGGGAAGAGAGCTATGGTAGGTTTCTTAAGGTTCATTACCTCAGTCGCGAATAACGTGCGTGGCCCATTTGATTCGCCCAACCTGATCATCAAGAAACAGTTTGCAGGAGGAAACCAAACATAAACCAAGGCGTTTTAGTTCTCTTTGGTCCTTACCATGTGCTTCATTGTCTCCACTGCGTGTGCTTCATTTTGGTCAGTGATTGGTGCTGAAATGTGAAGTGTCATTCCACGACTAGCTACGGTATTACTCCAAACATTTGGAAGCTTCTGCTTTGCTTCCAGCAGCCAGCGTTGAAAATCCTGAAAACTTCTTCCAACTTGCGGTTTACGGGCTCGGGACGGAGATTTTGTCAAAGGCAGCCGTGTCGGTGTGTTTATTGACGACGCATCGCGACTATTCGTTTTATCCAATGGTTGCTGTTCCGAGCGGACGTTGTTTGTACACGCCTGTTGCCGTCTTTAAAAATGACAAATAATGTTAGAACAGCGGTGTATTCATCCGTGCCAACCTCGTAGATGTTGCGACGTAAAACAGCTGCCAGAGTAACGAACGCTAAAAAGCACTGTACATTCAATATTCAGACTGCAAATCGACACAATAACAATGGGATACTAGTTTCAGTCTTACTACTTATCCCTTAATTGCTAGTATTCCGATAAGTGGGTTCGGTAGGGAAGATCCCTCACTTTCATCTAATTTATACGGAATCAACGGGAAAAATGTCCACCCTCGTCAACAGCAACATATCAACAATACATGGTGTTGGCGTTTTGCTACTGTACCAACCCAATAACCGACGGATGAGAAAAGGTAGGGAGAATTGAAAAACTAGGTGTAAAATTAAATGCTACTGAGAAAATAATTAGGGTCATTATACTAGTATAATTAGGGCGGACTGATGTATTTTCCAGCGGAACTAGCTTCCTACTGGTAGTTGGATTGATTGACCAGATTTCAAACCATCAAAATTTTCTACTAACGCGAGTGAGCGAAACTCGAATTAGGCGAACTCCGAGTTTGCGCCAATAGCTCACTTTTGAACAAGGAAATTCCGATGAGGATTCGAGCTGAATGGGTGGTGTGTTGACAATTTTTCCGGTTAACAAGCATTCCACCAGCAATGTCTTCGTCTAGTGATTTTTCAGTAAGATTGCTAGCTATGCGAGAAACCTGAATCACACGCGGCAGCCATGTCTTAAAATGCATCTTACTAACATCGAAAGGCTACAGGATGCAAGCTAAAATGTGAGGGAAGGCTAGTTTTAACCAGACAGTTTCCTTGTACATTTAACTGATCCGAGTCTTAAGTAACATTAGCCCGCAGATAAAAGAAGGTCATATACACTCTTAAAATTAGTTGTTATGTGAAATAAGAGTAGGCACATCCTTAGGCCCTGAAAGTTCTCCAACAAAACGCCGTCAGCTGAATCTGATCTAGAAGAAAATTGGCTCAAAACCACTCCATTAATTGTTTAGTAACTTATATCCTGCTGCTACCTCGATGATTGCCTTCTTGAAACTTGTACCACTGTGGATCGGGGAACAAGACAAAATATTGCTCGACAGCAGTGGATAAGTAAGATAAATAATTGAGAGTTCTGAGTAGCAGGCCCCAGGTGAGGTAGCCTTCCATAAGTCAGGATAAGCACTAGACGACAGTTTGCCCTATCGGGACTAGTCAATAGTGGTCATCTCTCTGCCCCATCAGGAACCGAAACCATGTCCTCTAGCCGGTGGTTCAACCTAGGTCACAAAGTGTGCTTTATCGAATTAGAGCCGGTGAATTTCCGGCAGAGCATTCCAGAATTGGCAGACCCAAAAGAAGAAGTAAATTTCTCAGCCATATTGATAAGTTCATTTTAACTATTGCTTATCTGTATAGCGTTCTGGTTGGGTTCCAAAATGTGGCGGCGTAAGTGACTAGGATTTCTCAGCATTTTGTACCTTATTATGTGGCCTCCGCCTAGTCGCCGGTATAGTCCAATGAACGCTCCCAGTTTCTTCATTTATTCCCGGTGTAGAAGGTTGCGTAAACCTTTGACATGCTAAACTGACCGGCATTGCGTTGTCTTGAGCACTGTTAAGTCACGATTTTGCCAAGTTTGCTAAGTTTATATGGTGCACGCAGGCATTGAGCAACAGAGAGAAGATGGATGAATTCAAACTCCCTGGTGCTATTCACAAGACGGCAATATGCTGGTAGATTGTTTTTAGAGCGTTCTTCACCGACCAAATCTAGATTTCATCAAGTTCTGCTGGAAGACTTCGTCATTATCTAGTTGAGAAATTGAATCAGGTAGGTACAAGTTGCTTTCTATGAAACTGGGCCTAAGCCCGAGTTTAGAAACCCCGTTGCAAGTGGTGCAGCCAATAAGCCAGTGCTGCTCTCATAGTTATACTATTTGCTACGAGCATGACTTAAAACTTCTGACCGAATTCCCTAGCTCAATTTGCAACCACTTAGAATCGTCAGTCTTTCTGGGTGGCCTGATTAGACACGGCTGAATCCACCGCTCTGTGTTGCTGAGCGACCTGATCAAGGTAGTAATCATTTAGGATGTCTCACTTCCGATCAAACCAGTTCCTCAAGATACGAATGAAAAACATTTACCCGCGCATAATCTATCTACCCTAACTCGGTTCCATAGCTTAGTGCTTACCTAATTCACCACGTAAAGTGATAACATTTTCATAACCAGTTGGAACGTTTCAAATTCCTACTCGGCTTGGTGTCAACTATTAGAAAACAGAGTAGGAGAACATCTGGCCAAAAACGGGTTCAAAGTCTCGATCAAGCACTGCAACGTAGCACAGTGAGCAAACAAATAGGTTTTCTTTTTTTGGATTTATCCTGCACCCTATTAAATAGATAGTTGTTAACCTTAGTAATGCGTATGAGCGATGTTATCGAGGCATCATGAATAGAAATTTGTCCTCCCCTTGCAACTATTTGTTTAGCTGACACAAAAATTTGCACTGGTTACAGAGCTATAAGTTTCTTGATTAAGTTCCTGGCTCTAAGAGTATATAATAATAATAATAATCTTGCCCAGACAAAAATAACTGGCTTTCATACTAATCTGTCTGTTTGACTTTTACACATGGAACACTGCAGATGGGCACGTCGTTTCTTCGAATTTCGACTTCCATAGTCCTAGACAGGGAATTTGTAGTTTTATAAATCGTGCAAACAGCCGCCATAAATTGCCTGCTGAATCCCATTCACTGAATGCTCAAGAATGCGCAAAGACAAACCGGTCATCGCACAAGGGTGCATAGAATGCTACCTCAAAGGGTTCCTTCTTACCATAAACAGTGCCAGGAAACGAAGCAGAACTATCCGATTTGGTTAAGAATTACATCCTCTGAACTGCTTAGTGATTAAATAACAAATTGATTTTGGGTTTCTGCATTCAAATTATAAAATTTGCGGAGGAATTTTATCAAAATTCATGGTGCTGGTCAATTTTTCAATCTAGGCCCACAAGCAGTCAGCTGACGAAGTAGGCTTCGATATTACACTTAATTGATAAAAGAAGCACTAAGCTTCGTTGCTATAGCGAGCAAGGTAGTCATTAAATAACCAACTGATGCTCTGCACAGCTTTGAAGCGAATCCAATAATGTACCTCATGTTTACATTCTATACCGTTACTAACCGGCTTAGATATTCCAGTTTATAAGCAAGTTCCAAGGCCAGATCATAACTTACTATGAAGTATGAGGTGCAGTAATGTCACAACCTTACAAAGGATCGTTTATAAAACCAGCATGTTCTGAGTGGTCGGAGAAGGCATGAACAACTGTCCTATCTCTATCGGTCGTAGAGCCCAGGACAATAACGTTAACTCACTTCAGCTCCAATTGTGGTCGATAGTGATGCTGGCCGAATCCGGCTAGCAGCGGACGAAGACCTCCTGTATCAGGTGGCCATAGTCTGCGTCCCTGTTGACCCAAGCCAGTTGTCCTTGGCTCTTCCAACTTGACGCCAGATCTAGCGGACCCGCCATGGGTGGTCGAGCAGAGTGCAGCAGCAGCAGTCAAACCAAATGGAGACTTTTTGTTTCGCTCATTTTCACATCTCGCATCCAAATTTGATCGAATAGAGCTGGTAGAACTGGAGTCAGAACTACATGACTCATCTTCCGAGTCACAATGTCCCATTGTCGGTTTTTTCCTTGACTCCGAACAGCTGGATGATGACGAAGAAAAGGACGCGTGTGAAGAAACTATTCCATGCTCGGAAGAACTGTCTGAAGAAAGCAGCGAGGATGGAGAAAGTGGGACATTGTCAATTAAGATTCTTCCGCTTGTCCCCAGATGTATGCCGAAGTTAGATGTCCCAGCTTCGGGAGGGCCCACTCTTCCAGTAGCTTGGTTTCGTTCATCACGCCGGTTTGCATCAGTTCCGCATTCATCTTTGTGCTGCTGCTCAAGTACCCCTTGATGATGTCTTCGTTGATGACCTCGATGAATTCGAGTTCGTTTATCCATCAAACGTCTCTTGTCTCCGTCTTTTGTCTGCAACTCAGTATTAATGGAGGCTTTTATTGCCTTACTGCTCATAGAGTGATTTGTCACTCCTGCCCTAGGTTGGAACCAGCCCGTAGGACGCAGCCAGTCTCGACCAGAAAGACATGTAACACAGCCTTGGTTAATCATTTGGGAATCAAGCGTATCCGCGGCACTGCGTAGGCTCCACTGACCTACAAGTGTACCACTTTCACTCTCAGCAGTGGCCTCGTGGATGGCAGCTAATAGTGCCAGATGAGAAGGACTCTGAGTGCGACCTTCAAGAGGTGTGATGTCGTTTTTATCCTTCGTTTCGGAGGTAGCCAGCAGCAGGTCCGGATCGCGTGCAAACAGAACTTGAGCCGTTGTTCCTTTTTCCATTTGCTCGCTGGTTAAGCGGTATTCTTCGTTGTGCGTTGAATTGTTCACTGAAAGTTGTGCAGAAGACTGCATTGCCGGTTTAGACGCACTTCCGCTACTGCCGCCACTTTGTTCGTTTCTGGCTTCAGGTGATCGGCCGGGACCCGTAACGGAAGGAACTGTGAAGAACCACGGATGTGAAAGGACTCATGCAAAAGAGATTGACTGGCAATTATGCAGTGGACTGAGACAAAACACATCGTGCTTGTGGTAATGCTGAGAGACCTAAGCATTCTAATGCGCAAATAATGTTCCAGCTAATTTTCCCCTGAAGAAAGTGCGCGACAAATAGGATACTTAAGCATCTGGATAGCAAATATCTACATCACTATGAAATAGGTAACTAATCTTATTTCATTAACCATACTGTTTTAAAATCCTATTCTTTCATGTTGTGTCTAATTTCAAGTGTGACTCAACCCCTTGCTAAGGAAAAAACCGGCAGGCCATTACAAGTAGACAACTTTATTGATACTCGATTATTGACACGGTCTCGCATTAGATCCAATTCATCACGGTCCAGTCCCACTCTCTAATCATACCAAATCCCCACTACTCATTAGTAATAGAGTTCCGCATCGTTTATTGTTGATCGCCCATTCGTGAGCACTTATCGATTCCTGATCTTTTCGAGCTCAAGCCACTGTTGCTTTCCTGGGGATACCGTGGACTTGACCGTGCTCCGTATGAGCTCAGCCCATTGTTAGGTGCCCGTGTACAGCACTGTCAAGTGCGCCTATCTGGTACTTTAGAATGTCTTGATAAGTACTACTCATATTTCAATAAGTAGTGTGATAAAGATGGAAATTGTGTTTTCCTATGAAAACCACGACGACGCGCTTCGACTCGAAATTGCGCGTCGCAATCCACACTCAACGAACACTTCAGCATGGCTACTCAGTAAGTAGCATGATAGCTCGCGGATAAAAAAGAATATTTACCCTGGACATCTTTTTCCGCGAAACCGGTTAGCGTAAGCAGCCATATTACTCATTGTTTCGCACTTATGTCCTAAAATAATCCTTGCACTGTATTTGCTATTAAAAAAGCGTTTCATGTCTTTTGCCATGAACTGCTTATATATACTGATTTACTGTGGCATATATTAGCAATCGACCTATATATAATGATAGCGTTCATTAAACAGCTAATACAGGACACCAGTAGCATTCCATTGTCTCAGTGACAAGTGTCTGTGCTAATTTAGCGGCATATCCGTATAGTTTTCTACCTATTTTATTGGTTATTTCATTTTATGTGGTTGGCTGTTTCTTGACATCCCCGGTGTGGCTGCATATGATGTGCATGTTGACAACGTGCCTACCTGTCTACCTGTCATCATCTCGTCTATACTGGCTCTAGAAGACACTTGGTCGTTGCTGAAGGGGTTGGTGTGCATGGTCATCCTGGCAGTGCTAAGCTCGAAGAGTGGTTCCATGCACACGGTTTGTGTGTGAAGCGGACTACGGTCCAGCCACCGGCTTGTGTGTGATTGATTTCCAAACACAGCGTGTCTGTGTTTGCCAGTGAGAGAGTGTGGACCGGCTCCGTTGGTGAAACGCGGCTCCCATCCACATGCCTCCCGGTCTTATTCCTTCGGGTTTACTGGATGTGGGGTGTGTGCATGGAGTTGTGGGTAGTGCAGCGCAAGTCAGCCATGGTCCATCCGTAGGCTCTGGCGTCCTGTGGAGACCATAGTGACAGGCAACTCCGAAACCGGATGTCGCCAATCAGGTAAACGGTTGCAAACGAAGAGGAGATGGCATTTATCGTCCAGTACTCGTGCTTTGTATGCTGATAAAGGAATGGCTATAAGGATGCTGGATTTTCATCTAAAGGAACATGTAATGATGATGATGCTGATTTTGGCCATCAAGGGGAAAGTGCAAATTTGTGAATTTGCGTCAGTAGACTGAATGCAAATATCTCACCCAGTCAATAAAAGTTGCCATCTGTCAGTATACAGAATGGTCCACGTAAGCTTTGGCACACAAGCACAAAGCAAAAATTTAAAGATATAATCCAGATGAAGCTTGAATAAAGAAACATTGCGGCCACAAGTTCCATCAATCCGGTCTAAACATGAAATATACGACGCGCGACCGGGTGATGATGGGAATGCTCATCTATTATGCAATTAGCGGCTGACTGAAAACAGGTGTTTACATGATGCAGCATACATAGAGTTTGTTTAGCACTTTTTGACCTTAAACATGTTCTTCAAGGATATGACCACCGTGAAAGTACCTACTTTTGACTGCACTCAGTACATTATGGCTCCATTAGGGAAAGAAGCCTCGTTCAGTTTGTTATCAGATGGAATTCCATTCAGCGAATAGAACTATGTCAAATATGATTAGACGTACCCAAAGAGAAGTTGGATCCATCAGGGAAAATATCGTGATGCATCTGAAATGACCAAATAGCAAGTTGACTTAATTTCGCTTATTAGTGCGAGTTATACAACAAAAAGTAATGGAAGCTGTAAGCTCACTGGTGAGTCTGGATTTGTGTAACGTGATTCCGTTCCTCTGAGTATGTCCCTAAAAAAGAATGTGAGGGTCTAGATGATTCAATATTTTGTGCATCCTACAACTATATAATGAGAGTTCTGTTTATTTCATACTAATTCGGAGTACTGCTCTCCATTGTACGCGTTGCACATACTTCTGTATGCCTCCGTCACACTAGCGTTCAAATATTTTCTTATATATTTTCCACTGGTAAAGGCCAGGTTAAGCCACGAAACACATCCGGATATAAATGCGACAAGTGGCTCTACTCGGAAAGTGAAATGAAGTGGAACGTAGTTTAGCAATTTAGCTGCTTCGAATGCTTGGTGAATCAACGTAACTTCCGTGAAACTGTTGGCAGTAAACTGAGTGCCTGATAGCTCTGCAAGCAACGACTGCATGGCCGTAGATGCAAATAGGATTGCATCTAACTTGGTTCTAAGCAACAGGTGGCGCTAGTCTAGCAGAAAGCTTTGTAAATAAAATATGCACCCGGTAATTTATTGGAGCCTGCGTGTTTACCCATCGCACTGTAGTAGTTCACCTACTTTCTGATGCAGGAGTGAGGTTGATTTTTAACCGGTGTCGTCCATAAGCAGTCCCTTACTGAGATTCACGCAAACCGGTATATACTGTATTGTGGAAATAACAAATGGAACTTACGGGGGCTCAGAAATGTGAATTGCTGGCTGCTGTGGAGATGACCTGTGGTATGGAAATAAACAAGGTCAACGGTGAGAACTCAACAACAGGCCAACATTCTAAAACGGCTGCAACATGTAGTTTAACTGTTTGCTTTCCTGTCTGTTTAACTCGCGTGATACAGGTACTCGACCTAATACAGAAGGGTTGCAGCGCATAATGACCTGCAAGTTGGGTGGTTTGTAAAGTAATCAAAAATTAAAGTAACGCTCATTATCTCTTCACCGCAATTATCACATCAAAGATTGAGTTAATGTCGGGTATTTTCTGTGTTACACGTTTCCTTAACTGTGAAAATCCACCTAACTCATAGTCACAAGTACCACAGTACAGATATGACATATTAACTTAAAGGCTCATACCGGGTGAGAACGGCACGCAACAATGCTGCAGAGCTTCACAATCACCAAACCCGACGACCATCTTTTCCTCGGATGTGTGGAGTTGCACAACTACACCCCAAATGGACTTCAGTTTGGCTCTTAACTGACAAGTCCATACTTTTATTGTATCCTTCCAAATTTGATTAAGATTTTTAGTGATAGAAAATGACGGTGGGCCGGTTACCGTGTTTAGTACACTCTTACGACTACAACAGATCTGGAGCACAGAACAATATGTAGTGCAACTCGAATTCACTATTGTTATATCGGAAATAGTGTAACGCCTCTCTTTGAACTGCAATGGACACTTGGCTCTCAGCCATGACTATGACTGAGACACCCGGATTGTCATTTCTACTGACCCAAAACAGGTGTGCTGAGTAAGCTGACTGGTAAGTTAATTAACACTAAAATTGTGCAAAGTTATGCAACAAAACTGCTGTTTCAGTGACATTTACATGATCCGAAATTGTTCCTTAATACTATATTCCTTGAACTCTGGAGTAAACTAACTGTTCAGTAAAAAAGTATTAATTTTGTGCAAGTTCTAGCTAGACTTATAAGTCTGCAAAATTTCCGAGGATTTAGAGGGGACCCTCTCACGACAATGGATGTTAATAGAGACCTGGACTAAATTAGTTATCTCAACGATCACTGACTTCATTTGAGAGTGGGCGGGAGACGCAGTTCTTAATGGAACTTCCATGTCTGTTCTAGCTTTCTACAGGTGAATGAGTTAAAACAGCTAGCGATCGTTAAAACCGGATCATAACAATGTTCCACCTGATGGAAGCATTCAATGCGCATCATGCAATGGCAAAACAAGGGGATCGGATTAAGTGCGAACTGAACTTTCACAGCTGTAGACACGGTCAAAGTTGTTTCATTCGAGTCACCAACGGTTGCACACCTTTTAGGTTGATTGTGAAATCATAAGGGATCAATAACGAACCGAGTATGCTTGTATCGTCACACTATAGTTGTTGTTTAAACATTCAAAGCTCAAAATCGTACAAGTAGTTATTAGGACCTTCACAGAGCTAATCACAACCACTGCACATGGTGTCGTTCCGGATTATGCACTGTGAGTGGAAACGTAAGAATATCAAGCAAAAGCAGTGTAAATTGCCAAAGCGTAGGAGCATGAGTATATCGTGTAGGATGGACGGTTATCAGTCAGTAACCTGCATAATGGCACAATAATTAAGTTAGTACAAACATTTTGTGGAACCAACGAAAACTACAAGTGAAGCGTAAGAGTACCGAAATTTTCATTTATATACAGTGGTATAATAGACGTTGGCAATAGGAAAACAATTCACATCCTCCAATGAAATCCTGAAGCCAGAGGCGTAGCAAGGGAGGCGAGGGTTGCGGTCCGCCCTGGACGGCATGTGACAGGGAGCGACATTTTTAGTAACATCGAGTGTTCAAAACCAAATATAAAGAGCAAAATTTCCATATAAGATGAGCGTTGCATATTTAATGTTACCCTGTATGACAAATAACACATTTGCGCCATGTGTCACATCTATGCAAGCGTTCTTCCCAGTAACAACTATACTTGTCCCATTGTGGTCGCTTTCACCCCATTTACCTCAGGCCCCAAACGAGGATACATTTCAGCAGAAACTACTGTGCACTTTACCCTGAGCCCATTACGTGGCTTTCAGGCACTACTTCTGAGTGTGGGGGGGGGGGCAAAAATTACCACCGCCAGGGGCTTTGATAAATACTGGTATTCGCTCCATTTTGTAACAGAATCAAGCTGTTTTTGTCATTAAACTCTTTAAAACTTCTTTCTGATCAGCGTCTTTATAACAACTATAACTTTGGAGGTGAAGGTTTACATTACTGGCATTACTAATACTTGTTCTTTAATATTTCGCTTTTAACCACGTATTTGTCAATAAAATCCGCACACCAAAAGACATTCGGTGTGTTTAAGAATCTGGGTATTTCATACTGTCCAACAAGTTGGTTTATGGTGAACAAAATGAAGAAAACTTACTTCATATGTGTCCAATATTCAATGTAGCTGCTGTGCATTTGTATGCAAAATTGCCATAAGTAGCGAGCGTTTTCACTGTTATCCTGTAGTCAATGATCAGGGAGAGATATCAAAGGTTTTAATCCGTCTGTTCGTGTGTGGTCAAGTGAATAAGTGGCTTGCCATTCCGAACAATGTTATTTCCTAGTTAGCTCAACGGACTAATAGTGCAGCTCACCTTCCGTTGCAAAAGCTGCAACGACTCTAACAAAATCATCTTTTCCATGTGTTACAAACTGGCGATGGCGTACTAGTACCGGCTTGCTGACTTTTAGGACAGGATGACCTTCCTGAATTGGACGTTGGACCACGTGTGCGAGGATGACCCATAATATTCCGCACGAGAGCTAACGATAAATCGCATGCCTACTGAATTTACTTTCTTGAACTGCCTTCTGCTAGTCAAGGATGCAGATGCGGTTACCGTTGAGGCAACCCTCCGAGAAACATAACGAAGACTGGAAGGGATCAAACATAGTCATTAAAGAACAAACGGCCAATGTATACTGTACCCAGATTTAAATCACTCTTTTACTGTAGTGAACTTCATTGGTTAATACTTACTAGCCGCCAATCCGAGTTCATTGGCTGTCACTAGTCGTCTTTCACTGTCGTTTGAACTACTCCAGTTTTGGTTGCAATACCCCAAACCTGATCTGCACTGTTCATCTGACCCATCCAGATGTAGTCCGTCTGCGCCGGTCACACTGACTACCTATCTACTTGCTGGCCAAATCTGTTCCGATCCTTCGCTTGATCAGCCATCATCTTCCTGTGTACCGTCCGCTCACAGCCAGTACCGCACGTGCGAAGCTCATTTTTCCATTGTCCAAATTCAAAATCATGCTTGAGCTACATTACTGGAAATCATTTCCGCACAGTTCATCCGGCCGGTAGTATTCGTCAGCAAATTCCGCAACTGGCGCTGGTTGGATTCCAGCTCAGTGATTGCGTGTCGGTTTCGTTGACGTAAGTTGCCAGATATAGCAGGCTCCATCCTTTTCCGTTCAATCATTAATCTAAAGTGCATTCCTCCCGTAAGTGCCACCACAACGATGCATTTAAAATTAAGGAGTGATGAAATCACGCTTTATTATCCGACTTTAAATATAAATACCTACAGATTAGGTTTTTAACTATCCCACTTCCTACAGAACATTTTGTGTGTGGCGCAATACAAACTAATTGGTAAAACCTGTGCAACGGATATTTTTAAAGTATTCCCATCGATACAGAACAAAGCCAGATGGATCTATATAACGTTATAACCCCGGTTACATGGGAGATATATACGACCACCTATCTAGCTCAGTTGTCTAAATCTAAGTGTGGGGCAGAGATTACCTAGGTTGCTGTACCGTATTCCAAAACTGTAGACTACTGTCTGATTGTGATTGCATTCCATCTTATAAGAAAGAAAAAAACTACTTTCGTTTCTCCAAAGGGGAAAGTGAATCAACAGCTCAAATGGGATGGTTTTTCCCATTGTGTTGAGACATAACATCATGCTCACCATAATGTTGACTAAAGAATATATTTGCTTGCACTACCGCGCTGTGTAAAGCTTCGGTCCGTTCTATATTTTTAACTGCGTGTTGTGGGATAACTCTCAGACTGATTGTGATGAAATGTGATGAACCACAGGGCCCGTTGCTGGGACGGCGCTTATTCCTAATACCCATCAATGACTTATCAAGATCCATTCCCTCTAATTTCTAGTCTTCGCCGATGACATTAAGGTATGGCGAGCGATTAATATCACTGTATCGCGTTCATGCGTGGTTAGTATGGATACTGGTTCAAGACGATTTCGGCTATCAGAAACGATCCGTGGTGTCGAGAACCGGCGAACAACCCGTTGACCTTCGCAGAGGGTTCGATCAGATGGACCCCTCAAGCTTACCAAACTGCTTAATGCCTATGTGGGACCGCACGGGGAATCTTTTACGTAGGCGTGGCACTGAGGGCAGAAGTAAGATCTTGCTATCCTGGAGACTTCAAGAAGTGGCATCCAAGAACGTTAGAGGCCATTTCCATCTGCCATACCAGCTTAGACTGAAGTTCTTACGTATGTACAACAGTCGAAATTTCTGCATGTGATGAGACCACATAATAGTCCACCATGTATTGAAGCTCCCAAATCGCCAGCTCCTGAAACTGAAACACAACACCAACCTAAGAGATCATCAGCTAAAGGTGACAAGACAGCATAGCCAGCTGGAATGTTGTTAACATGTCTTCTATGTTCGGGTTTGTCAGCCGTGGAAACTTCTCTAACTTATATAGTTTCTGCCTCCAATCTAACGATTGTCCCATTGGCTTTTCGTTTTAGAACATCTGTGTGTATGCAACCAAAACGCTGTGATTCCAAAATTCTGACCATACGGAGTTATACGTATTTTCTTGAGAACATCTTGCCTCATTTTCCCATTTCTCAATGCGATCATTACGGTGAGTCCAGCGAAATGCTTCTCATATTATCAACGCATTTTCTCAATTCCTTCCACCCCACGGGACTCGTAAAGCATTAAGTATTTTCACCAGTAACACACCATGGTTCCATTTTACCCATCCAAAGACGTACGGTAATAGACGTTTTGCAGTCGTTAGCCCTCTTTTATTCGCTTTGGACTGTAAAGAACCAAAACCCTCCAAACCCTTATATGGTCTCCCACAAATTTAGCAAGACATACAGCGTGGTCTTTTGAAGGCAGTCTACAATTTGTTAATTGGCAGACTTTACGGGTTTGTGTGGTAGCATACAGTATGGGCTCCCCGTGTTAGCTGAAACAATCGCTAAATTTCTGAGCCCGGTGCACCACTTCTCACCATGGTGCTGACACACCCAGCATAGTTACCAGTTTAGACAGCCACGTAACAACCACAAGGTACGTGCAAAAACACTAAGGTTAGGAGTTTAAATACATAGAAATACTGAATATCACTGCTGAGCATTGTACTCAGCAACGGCTCGCGTATTTCACTCGCCACGTCCCTTACAATAAACTTTCAATTAATCATTGGCATTTCTCTGGTCTGCTTACTTAGCATGCTTCGATCTATGGATAGTTAATGCAGCTATCGTGTGAATGCCAGATGAGAAAATGCGAGATCGTTCCTCCGCAGCCCGGTCGTAACAGCAACTTCAATGTTTATTCCGTAGAGAACTTTGCAGTATATTACTCTGGGAAAATTCGGCTCTGTCCACAAGCTTTCGTTATTTAGAAAAATCAGTAATATCGTGAAATTACACAAATCCTTTAAACTTGCTTCCTATCAGGTTGGTCAATGGTTAGAAATCAGACAAACTCAGTCTTCCAGTCCTCCAGGTTGGAGGATTAAAATGGGATGGCGCCCTTTTCTGTAAAACTAAACAATGCCACGTCCCCGCTGTGTTGCGGATAGGCTTTTGAGCCAAAGGCTTTGGTTAAGGTCCCTAATCGTCCTTTTGTCTAAATCTTGGCGCCCTGGCAGTATCTCAGCCCACATACAACCAAGACAATTTCCCCAAATTCCAACTACATCCATCGGCCGTAGCACAGATTATCAAGGGTCTCGTTATCTGCTGCACACAGCAGGGCGGATAAGCACCTCCCTTCTTTCTTTTCCACCTGTTTCTCTTACTACCATCCCAACATTCACTACTAACCTTTCTTCTATAGTTCGCAGCTTAACTGCCAGCAGACATAATGCCACTGGAGTCGTACCATCTGCAGCTATCTTCCCTCACCACCCACCAGATGCCTATCAACAACAGCCCCCTATGAGGCCAAGTCCTCCTTTTTCCCTGGCAGCGTTCAAGGTTCGCACTCTATCACAAATAGGTAAGCTGGCTGTACTCTTACGCACGTTAGACACGCTGGGTATTGACATATGTTGAGTATCCGAAACTAGGATCAATGAGCCTAATAGAGTTCAGATTAGTGGTGGTTTTTGTGAGTAGTGTAATTTGGTAGAAAGTAGAAGCCTCGATTAAACTTTGCACAATAATCTGCCCGACAGGGAAGCGAACCCTAATGTTGTTGCATTGACTGCACCCGGCTTCTCGTCTACCTAATGGTTGAACGTGTCGGGAGACACTGGTGCGGCAGCCTCTAGTCAAGCGGGGTAGGTATCATACTCAGCTCCAAGGCTGAGTCATTGTTGATCGATCAGATTCCCTTGAACAGCCATTTGTGTGCAGCCCGTTGGACGACATCAATTAAGGTTGATTCACGAATAGTATAAAACGCATTTTATGGTTTCCGCGTATGCTCCCACCGATTAGAGTGTTGCTGCTGCCAAGGGTACATTCTACTACAAACTGAACACGCTACTACGCAGTGCTACCAGTTCAGAAATCATAATACTTGCAAGGGATGGGAATGCACAATAGGTCACCTGGGCTCTTCAGAAGCCCAGCTGGGGCCTAAATATGGGCTTAACTCCAACCGTACGGACAAAGGCGAGCCTCTTTTGCAACTGTGTGTGCAGTACCATCTGTTTCTTAGTAGCACTACTTTCAAACACGGTGGGTGCCGATACGCCATTTGCCTTCCTCATGTAGCTGGCCGACGATGGACCCAAATACAACACACTGCCATAAGTTACAGGTGACGGGACTCCATCCTGGATTGCCGCTTGTTCTGGACTACCTATGTCGACCCTGATCGTGACTTTGTAGGATGCCGCTTTTCCATGATCTTTACCGGGAAGGGCACCAAGCGTCTTCCTCTATTTGCAACTGAGAAATCGTCTCAGGTCTGGGTCAGGCAAGCCTAGCAAGCTGCACTGCGTACCGAAATTTTGCTATCTTGTCCTAATGACACAGCTTCAGTGGAATAGGATTTCGGTCGCCATGTGCAACGCAGGAGCATCTGTTTGTGGTACTATCAATCGTCACCGCACCAGTCACTGGATATCCGAGTGGTTGGTGAACCTGTAGGAATCCAGCCTAAACTCCTGACTGGCTCTGAGCACAATATGACCAGACGGACTATTAGACGCTAACTATAGCGGAGCCTACTTGATGACAAGGAAGTCTGGTGGACCAGTAGAATTTAAGATATGAAGGAGGCGGGTGCAGTAAGGAACTATCGCAAACTCTTTAGCTGATCCGCTCCATTGGTCTCAGGAAACCAGGCGTCAGTGAGATAATCAGAGTCAGTGCGGGTGCTTTGATTCACAATAAGAAGTGCCGTATGGCACTTTGGGAGAAACATTTTCAAGACCAGTTCAGTTGGCCCCTGGTTCCGGCCCACTTTCTACTCAGCTGAAGCAGGGTGAGCCATGGACGGTAAGTTAATAGGCTCCATCAGACTCTGAGGTCCTAACAGCAATCACAGCCCTGAATAGCTTTTGTGCCACTGGCCCAGATTCCTTGCCACCTGCACTATTTAAGGATGGAAGTGAGGTCCTCTGCAAAGCACTGAACTCAGTGTTCGAAAATGTATAGGAGGAACAGTGTCCCGGCTAACTGGATTGCATCGATAAAAATGGCAATATACAAGAAGAGCTGTCGCACCGACTGTGCTAACCACAGAGGTATTAGTCTAACGCCTGTATTGACAAAACTACGAGCGTCGATTCTCATTCGTCAAGTCAATGGGGAACGAAAATCTCGGGTTAAGAAAGAGCAGGCAGGTTTCAGACCAGTACAGGGCTGTATAGACCATAGATTCACTTTCAGGCAGGGGCTGGAGCGGCGCCACGCATACCGCAGGCCTACAATAGCCGTGTTTCTCTATTTCAAGAGTGTTTTGATTCAGATGCATTCTGTTCGAAATAGTTGCGCGGAAGTATGTTCCCACAAAATATGTGAACATTTTACGTGCTCTGTACTCGAACCCTACAAGCCTCGTCAGGGTCTACGGTTACCTGTCAGACAACTTTCCGACAACAAGTGGCGTTCGTAAGGGTTGTCCGACTTCCGCACTTTTTTTATTTTCGTCGTAAATTGCATCATTCTCACGATGCAGTCGTTGAGGTGTTACCAGGTGACCGGCTAGTTGATCTTGAGTATGCGGACGATATCATCTTGATATTCAACAATGTTGGGGCAGCGCAATCAACCCTGAATAACCTGTGTAGTGTGGTTCCGTTAGTTAGTATGCGCTTCACACCTTCAAAGTGCAGTGTTGCTGCAGGACCGCCGACCACTTTGTGACCCCTTGACCCTAGGTAGCGAGGAACTCGAGATAGATGATCAATTCACCTGCCTTAGCAGCTGTATCAGTAACGATGGGTGCATAGCTACGGAGATACGTTCACGTATTGCCCTAACAGTACAGTAAGGTGCAAGGTGTACAGCAAGGTGTCTCCCTCCGTCTAAAAGGCCGTGTTTATAAGGCCACAATGAGGGCCGTCTTAGTATATGAGAGTGAGATTTGACCATTTCGGTCTGAAGATTTGAGGTGCCTTCAAGTCTTTGATCATCTTTATCAGCCGAGCATTGCTGGTGTGGGGTGATACCAACGTGTCCGCAACGGTGATGTGCGTAGGCGTGGGCTAGACAGTGATGCTCAAGCTACTTCCTTAGAACAACAGATAGCAGTTGCTAAGTTGCGTCGGCTTGGATACGTACTACGTATGCCCGGTCTTCGCTTACCGAGGAGGGTCTTGTTTTGTCTGTAAGATGTAGTGGCACAACACCCGAGGTAGACAAAGGTTGACTTGGCAGTGTGAAATGAAGTCACTGACGAGCCAACTGGGCGCCGTCTGTTCGTTTTGTCATTCTGGCTGGGGTCCATATGATCTGCCTTGTGCTGGGCTCGAGACTTTCAACACAGAATCGAAGTCGACACCAGTGGCGCGTCTGCTGCCGTCTCCTTGTCGGACTACCTGCTTAACGGATGTTTGGTGCTGAGTTAGCTGTAGGGTAATGGCTGATTATGACGCGTTGCAGTGAAAGCTGCGCAAGGGAGTGGAAGATAACCCGGGCTATATCATACCCAACTGTCAATGACACAGGTCCGCGGCTGTCACCCACGGCGAAGTGGCACTAGCTGCTGGCATCCTGAAATCATGGAGGCGGAACCCGACAGGGTTCCGCTGGGAGGCGCACCACTGACGAGACACAGAAGGTAGAAAGGTCAGTCTCTGGTGCTTTTCCGGACTTGCCCAAGTCTACTGATTAAGGGTGACGATGATGAATTAGCTGAAGTGTGTATTTGCCGACATGTGATGTCCGATACGTAGGTGGGCGCGATCATATGTTTATTGGCTTGCTTAGACTGCTAAACGGGATACCGAAAATACTAACTCTAAGTTACATTAGCGGGTGCATACATTCATTTGTCATGTATTGCAGTAATTGCATGATTCTCAGCCAGCCGATTGGTCGGTCAATTTTAACCAGAGAGCGTCAGTAATCATGACAGGATAAATAGCACGGATCTGGTGCTGCAGAGTGAACCGAATTATAACATTTTGCTGTTTCCAGAGTCAACCTAGCATTAAGTACCAAGTTTGATCAGCGGGTGCCAAGAGTTGATCGACATGAACCAAATTATTATTTTTGGATAATTTGGCTATCATCCAATTTTTGCATCAGCAAATGTCACATGTGTCTGCACTCAAAAAATGTCCCTTAACTCACAAATACAAAATGCACTGCTTTGCTTTTCTTCAAGGTTTGAATTGTGAAGGTCTTGCGTGAGTAAGTGAGGTCCTTGATGTGTTCCCACCTGGTGATAGGATAAACATATCAAAATTGACTAAGCAGCCTCGGAGTAAAAGTACCTTAAGGCAGCCGTTCGGCTACTCTTCATTTAGGATTGGGTGTGGTCGTAGGAAGAGGTTATCAGGGATGAGTACACAAGTTCATGTTTGAGAACAACCAGACGGTTTACTCGCAGTCATAGTGGTAGCGTCAAAGTAGAAAAGCTCAAATAAATCCAAATGCATAAACGCCTGCTTATGTGCCATTAAATCGGAGTAGGTTTATACGTATTTGCCGTGTCACAAAGACTGGTGCATCGCTGATGTAAATTAGTTAAAGAAGAGTATCGCAACCCTCCCGCTTTTATAACTCCAAAGTGCTGAACACAAAGATTACCTTTCAAACGATGATAAAAATGTTCCCGCAATTCGGAAATCTATCAGGACATCTGGGTCCAGTATGCCGACAAGCTTAAATTCTCTGTTTCTCGAATATTGTTGGCGGAAGGTAAAAGGATTACGCTATTATGACATAAATATAGCTGGGCAGCTTTTTAAGAACGTCTAAAAAGATCTCTGTGGACTCTGTGATGCATAATGTGTTTATCTCTCGGTTCTCTATCCTTAAAGAAGCCAAGTGTCGGGACAATAAAATGAGCCACAAATTCTTAGGCGCTACATTTCACACTTTAAATAATGAAGTTCTTCCACTGAAAGGGAAAGCGATTATTTAAAAACATATTCCATCTCTATTCTCATCTGGACCCTACACTTATGTATTGAATGAACCGCGATTTTCGAGCCACACAATGATGAAGAAAACGAATTAAACAGCCGGCTCGGAAGCACATCACCTGCCGTTTGAACGCCCTTACTGAAGCTGCGCAATCATCGTATTTACAGTCCGTACGGTACTTATTCAACTTATGCCAGGTAACTGTGGAGGAATCAGGTGAGAAGCAAACTAATATAGACCAGAATTTAATATTTATTAGTTCTTCAGCAAGTGAAACTATCCACTGAGAAGCTCTAGCTACCTACAGCTGTTAAAACACTCGGTGCAACAATTAGCCGGTTAATGAAATTATCCCATTGCTCTTCACAACCGTATTCATTGACATTACCTGACATCCGCAACATGATTTGTAAATCGTTATTTCTAACTTGTTATTACGTTCGTCTGCCTTGGACACTTTGCTGAGATTAGCTGCTATTGTAAATCGCGCCAACATCATCTCATGAAAAAGTGGTACTATGTGGCACCACGTCACAGAGTTTCGCGACAGGCACATGGGAGCTAAGTTGGGAAATCCTCACGGCACTTAGCTCAAGACATTTTCTATACCCGATTTACGCAATCATCGTAGTTGTTTAGTTAATTCATAGTGTACAATGTACAACACGCGCAACATTTATTATTTCGCCAGCGAAAGATGAACCCCGCTGCGGAGACATTTAACTCTCGGTGGTTTAAACCATTGAGGATGCAGGTGTGGGTAAAGAAATGTGTTCATGTTTTGTCCGAAACGCACACACAACGCACTGTGTACAGCTGCAACACATCATATTGATTTCATGGATCCCTAATGCCTCGTTTGTATCGATCGAAGGAATGGTCGGCCAATTCCGCGCACATTGCCAGGTTCTTATCGATCTTTCCAGGTCACCTTCCCCATAACTTTGTTACACGCGGGCACGCATTCCATCTGGTGCAATCGATGTGCAGATTCCGAAACCGAACGATAGCACTACTGTAGTGTAAATGTCCTCATACAGAGATGGAAGATATAGTTGGCCAGGCAATATTCTATCAATGAAGGGATCCTATGATTTACCAGGATACTAAGGCCGTGCATAATATAAGCATTTAATATATGAGGAATTCTCACTTTAGATTCGTGGTCGTTCCCTTTTCTGGCTCTAGCATGGTGATGATGATACCATTCCGTGAAACTCCGAGTTCTGCCGGTTCATTCTGGCAAGTCTAAACGGCAAAAGATCTTTTACAATTGTTACCTGGATTAAGAGAACATCAAACAAAAAGGTATATAGATGGATATTAACTGCTATGCTACAATTAAATGTAAGATGGCTCGTCGTATGTAACACTTACAAGTTTATACACTTATGAGTAAGATATTAGCGTTTGAGTTGCAATGACTAAAAATCATCTTATAAGGCAGTGGGGACGTAAATCAGTGACACTGATGCGTTTTGACACTTGCCTAGTTTCAGTCTAGCTATTTAACTGGAACAGAGCTGTTTAACTAATTTTTAGGCTAAAAATCAATAAAGAAATGTTCACTACAACGTTGTATTTGAACGAGTTCCAGGTTTGGAAAGAGTTCGGTGCTGCTCCTCCCAACACTGGCACATCACGACCGCGGTTTTGTCCTGGTTTGGAGTCATCAGGTAGAATTAGCGTGAGCTGGAGTGGAACTCAGAGCCTAGTTGTTCACGACTGAGGATGTACCAAGTGTTGCTCGCGGATCTCAGTGAGACCGTATTTATGGCCTCAGCCGTCAACCTCCAGGCTCTGACTGCAACCCAAGCTCCACCTGATGAGTCAAAACCAAGACTAAACCGCCGTCGTGGTGTGCCAGTGTTGGGAGCAGCAACACCGAAATATTTCCATTTCAGATACGGTCCATGCGATCTGAATGACCGAGATCTACCACAATTAAACCGAGGTCTTAATAGCGGTTGCTTGTAGCAACCCAAACCCACAGCGGGTTCTTAAATTCTAACTTTAAGTTCCATGTTTCTGTTGCAACTATGTTTATAACCCTGCTTCTAGAGATATCGAAAAAGTGAATCTTGCTAAAAGAATACAGATATTCTTTGTTTTATAATGTTCCACTGTCTCGTTGCTGACGTGTCCCGGTTCCTAGGACCTATCGGGCACAACTAATCAATACCGCAAAATTCTTGCTAATACCTTTTTTGTGGTAGCTTCTAATCCCAGAGAATTGAGAGATTTGTTCATCACGACGATCTTTGACCGAATAGAACGGCTGTTGATATGATGAGTATGTGCCTTATTACAAAGCACAGAATTTTCCCGCCCATAATGCATTTGCAGCTAGATTCCGTAAGCAGTGTGCTATAGTTTCAAAATAACGATTTTAAGAAGGATGTACTTCATACTACCTGCTGGTTCTTGATCTATAACAATATGCATGGGAACCTCATGTTAAAGGTTCAGATACCCGTTGTTATCCCGAAACTTTGGTGTAAGCTCCAGTTAAGAAATTTCAGTTTCCATTAAAATAACCACAAGTACTGAGAAACGTTCATCATTACCAATTATATAATTTCAGTATGTATTACTGCGGCGCATGTGGGCAATGAATTGCTCTCATTGGTCTCTGTTGTCGTTTAAAGCTTTTTTCTAAAACTATGCTAGGTTTCCTTTACCATTTTAACCAAATAGAGCACACCATAACTTCAAGTGGAAACTGAGGGGAAAAATAGATGCTAATTGTTTAAAAGCGCATCTCAGCTATTAGGTCGGGCTATCTTCTGTGTGCAAGCATACTCTGGGAATTAATGGGAGAAATTGTGTTTAACTACGTTCTGCGGACTGGTGACTGATTGCTATATAACGTACTTCAGAATTTTAGGGAAACAATGGCAGATAAATGCTTGACCACACTTGCACCATAGATGAAGAACTTGCAGTGATAAGTACTTGACTTCGGCCTAACTAGTTAAAGTCATACAATATCAATTTCTTTTGTACTTTCTGTAATCGTGTCTAACTTAATCGACTATAAACAGGATAAGCCTACTATGCCGAAATTGTTGTGGTTCATATGCCAGTGGTGATAGAATTTGCCGATACCAAATTAAGACCCAAAATCCTTCCATCGTGTATGCTGACATAAAGTTCCTCTTTGCAAATAGTTTATGCTAACGCTATCGCTTGATTTTTCCACGTAACTTAAAATTTAGTGCTGAAGCTTCTGGTATTTATAGGAAAATTATTATCAAAGAAGTGGAATGTGGATTTATCAAGCTTAAAACTAACGAAGCTCGCGCCCATACGTGGTGCAACGAGACCTTTAAAGTGGTTACAATGAAACGGAATTAGCTGTTGGACGAAATGATTTTGTGCTTATATCAAAGTCGGTGATATAAGTCAAACTATTAATCCCGAATACTAGTGTGTCAACCTGTCAGCAAGACCATTGCTACAGTAAAAGCATTTATTTGTAACGGAACATTAACCAAGCATTTTGCCTTGATTGTGATGTCGTGAAATTAAACATTATTGCCTTGAAATAGTGGAGTAATTTTACGGCCTCGTGATTTACATATCATCTTGTGCTACACAAAACAGGGTATGGTGATGAGATTATACTCTGCTGTCGTTCACTTTATGGACATGGGTACATCTCACATCTGTATGCGCTCATCTGGTGTAGGTGAAAGATGTTCGTACAGTGGACCTTTGGCCAATGTCATATGAGGTCATCATAACGCAAGGTGCATAGCACCGATCCGACCATCCTTTGCTCATGCACTAAGAGATGGTATAATAATAATAGTAATAATAATATATACTACTAATATATATAATATAATATTTGATGAATGAAAGGTGCCATTGAACGTAAATGATGAGTAACTTTCTTGGAAAGTTATATCACAGGCTTTTACGACTGCACTGACAGTGGTAAAAATTCCTTCGTTCGACCCGTTCTAAACAATTTAATTGTATACATAAAAGTCCACCGCTCTCACCACCTTCCGCAAACAAATATTACCAACAAACTTAAAGAGCCGACGTAAAAGTTGGCAGATTTTGTAAATTAAATGTCTTAAATGAAATCCTTGTAATTTTACTTGTGCTCCTTTAAAGGTACCAATTTCGTTAGTTTCTTTGTCCGACAAATTTATTGCCTTCTAATAGTTAGAGGCAGGCCAAAACGTTTTAAGATTTAGCTACTTGCATAAACTTTCCCTGTTTTGTTCAGGGTCAGCGGAAACAACATTGTTTTGCGTACTTTTAATCGTTTTCCCAGTAAACCCAACAATCTGGTGTACTACGAATGGTCAAGAAACGGCAGTGGGTGTTATCATACGGTCTGGTGTTGGGTGACTTATGCAATTTGATCGACAAGAACACCCAAAAGGTGTATATGACATTTGCGGATTTCTGCTTATTTAGACTTGAACTACGTCACTCAGACTGTTACAGGTAAATGGCGTGAGTAAATCAATGGAAATAACTAAACTTTTCTTCATTTTTTCACCGTATTATTTTTGTCCCGTAAACTGACCGATGGTCTGGTTAGTGGGAAGTAGGCATCACGCGTTTTGTAGGAATATTCAGAATACGATTTAGCAATCATGCTTGCAGATGGGTGCGTATTTTAGTAGCATTTATAGTTAAAAATTTGTGATACCCCGTACTTATAGTAGTGTAACCGAAGGTGAGGTGTCGGTGTTTGCTACTTGAGCATTGATTACAATTCACTTGGCATAATCTCGACTGCTCGAATCAAAATCGATGATGAGCAGTGGTTGGATAAGTCCAACTACTTCCATCGACCGCTCCTCAAATACTCGGTAAAAGATTAAAATATGCAACTGACGTAAAATAATGCCTTTGTAAAGTAACATCTTTTTGCATGAGTATTCTCAGTTTAAATAAGCTCCCAAGCCAGGCAACAATAAGTCACCAGACAGTTTTTCTTCGTTTTGTGCCCCCGTTTACCAACCATTTTATCTTCTTTCCCCCCTATGGAAAAGTTAGGCAACAACATCACACAGAGTAGAGTAGAAACACGGATGCACTATCATTCCCTGCGATGATTTCACTCTATTAACTAACCATAGAAAGTGTATTAATTTTAGCAGTGCTGTTGCAGTTACCAATATACAGGATGCATATACGTTAGAAGTCGATATATTTTATGGTTGGTTACTCGTCTGCCCGTTGTATAACATTATGAAAATGCTAGTGCAAATCTAATAAAAGCTTAGTTTAAATCCTCCGTTTAAATCTTTTGTTCATAATTTAGTCATAAATACTTATGGTGGACGAATTACTTAATCCAAGTTAAACATTTTTAGGCAGAGGAATTTTAGGATTTGTCTGCTTCCAGACCACACTGAATAACCGGTCTAGTACTTGGCGATATTCATCTGACAGAATAAGTCCGACTGCGATTCTAATCGGCGTCCTTGGGCTACCTGCTATAACCTGTATCCATAGGCCACCCAGCCACGGCGTAGAACACTTATTACAATGGGTAATTCTAAGCAATTATTTTCCTTTTACCATTTGAAGAATGCGGTAGAAAGATGAAAGCTGGTAGATGCATGCATTTCGTATTGACCCCTCAGTACCATTGGCAATAAGTGATATGCAAGTTTGTGTAAATGAATGACGAAAGTTCCACCCCGATGTTGATGGAAGTCATAAGCTCACAAAAATTTATTTTTTGAAAATACAGCGCTGTCTTCACCCGGGTTATTGCCACAGATTCGGTGAAACGGAAGTAACGATGATTAGTGTGACGTAACACGATTGTGAACACTGATCCCTGCTGTCTCCCGTGGCGCGTGACCAATAGGTGTCTATCTATTATGAATGATTGCAGCCTGCGCAAGCACGTGTGCCCCTATTCAGGAATGCAAATAGCGATCACTTCCACCTATGTACCTGTTCCCACATTTCCCCAAGTTTGCTCATGTAGTGAGATTTGGCCTTGATTGGCAACACCCGGCAAACTCCAACCTCGTTTAATGACCACAACTTTAGCAGCATGGTATCTTCTCTGAGCAGCAGGAATTAGACATTCTGTAATCTTCGGTGTAGTGATGTCATACTTGTAAAGCAAATAGATTTTTTCGTTGGTTGATGCACTAAGTCCTCTGACAATCCAGAGTTAATTACAACTACGCGCATAGCGAATGGGTATCCTTGCATATTCATAGAGAAACACAGCCAAGAGCGAGGTCCAGAAGAATTAA